CGCGGGCTGTTTTGTTAGCACAATAAATATTTGAACGCCGTTTTGTCTCCGGAGATTGAGCGGCACTCTCGAACTCACATAATAATGCTCACGCACCTACCTCAGTCAGGAGGACTCAATTTGCCGGCTGTTCCATTCCGCGCTGCTCGCCAGGGAAAACAAAGTCACTCAAAACTCGGCGAAAGAGAAAGAGAGAGAAGAGCCTGCGAAGAAGAAGCAGGTCCAAATTAGTAAAAGGCAATCACAAGAGAGACGCGGAGAGGCTTTGACCTTTTCACTAAAAAAGGTTGCAGGCCGGCAATGGCATTTGCGATTTCTATAAGCAAATGCCCAACCAAATGTCAAACCATGAAATTCTGTATAATATAAAAAAAATCAGACTATAGATGTCAATAATTTTTTGATTGGTGATATCAAAAATAAAAAACTCTCAACAACTTTTAGATTAAACAAATATTTTTATGTAAAATTGAATAAAATTTTTTACACGGAAATGAAGAGACTTTTCCTTGTTGCAGATATTGTTTTGATTTCAACAACAAATGCGAACAAATGGCTTTAGCAGTTTCTGTCACGGTCTGCAACCCTATTTCATGGGCAAGAAAAAAATCATCAACATTGAAAAGCACCACATTTTAACGTAAAAATTTAAATCTTAATTCTACGATAACAATTTAATTACCAATCTATTGTGGTGCATTTTTTTCAATTTCATTGACTTTTTTGTATTTTTCTTACTCAAGACCATGACTGAAACTGGTAATGCTATTTGTTTTTGAATAAAAAACAATATTTACAACGAGGAAAAGACTGATCTCTTCATTTCCATGATCATATCCTCGAGTGTCAATTTCATCAAAAAAATTTTGTATACATGTAATTTAAATTTTGTTTCATCTTAAAGGAAGATCGAATTGGAAAATTAAAATTCTAAACCTCAAGATAAAAGTGATTGATCCTTTTTTTGTCGAATTTTTCAGCAGGATGTTTGATAAATACAATCTTTGGAGGAAAGTTAAGCATATCACTTCCTGTGCTGGTGCAAAAGCGATCGCGAATTCTCAAAATAAATAAACTGCTTTGCGCCATTAAACGGCGCCAGTGCTTTCACGTCAGTTTATTTCTGCCAAAGGCACCCAACCGAGTTTTAACCTCTTTTTGTATATCTTTGGTTTTTGAACAGCAGGTGTGCAAAAGTTGTGCGATTAAACGCATTTCCTGATAAATGCACAAAGTCGGGTGGTTCTGGAACGGCTTGATTAAATTGGTGCGAGGGTAAATAATTTCGAACCCTCCTCAGCCAGACGCTGTGCGGATTTTTAATCAATCTGTTTTCCGTCCCGTGGCCAACGAAATTGCTTGCCGGCTCTGGAAGATAAATCTTGCAGTGTCTGCCCGAGTTATTAATTGATTGTCGCACGCTGCACGCAATTCCTATGTATTCGAAATTATGACCACATATTTTCAATCAAAGGATTATTTTTGTGTGTTGTTGAGAATAATTTGCGTGTGAAAGAAATTTTCAAATGATTAATGGAGGAATTTTTGAAAGAAAAGCTTTTGCTTGAGTTTGTTTAACAATGGAGTTGTGAGTAACCAAAGTGTCGGAGGAAAAATTGCATCTAATTAATAATGGACGAGGAATGGAAGTTTGATTGGCACGTGACAGTGGCGCTGATCAATAAAGTAGTGCAGGAGAGAAAAGCGGCAGGAAAATGCGGATGACACACGTGAATGAAATTAGGGCGCGGCCGCAAAGAGGCATTTTTCCGGGCGGACCGATTCTTCTCGAGTCAATTTTTTCTCGGAAGTTATCGCCGTGCGAAAAGGATTCGCCGTGAGAGCGGACAAGGGACACGCCCAAGCTGCCGGCGCAACCCTTTCATTAATGAGATCTCTGTTTTACAAATTTCGCGGCACGCCATGGTGCAGCAAACATTTTGCGTGAGCTCTTTTTTTTCAGATATTGCTATTCCCGGTGCTGATAGGCGAATCAAAAATAATCACCATTAGCTACAATTTACAATATTTTATGGATAACGTTTGCTTTTCTCGTTGTTAAATTCATAAAACCATAAATTTTTCTGAATTATTTTTCAACTTTTGATCAATGTGAATATTGATTGAAAAGGAAAATTTGGAAATAAAATCACATCACCAAAATTTGAAAATGACCAGTTTCACCGCTTTTTCTAATATCAATCACATAATTGTTTAGGAAATAAAAATTAATATTTCCTGCGATGTTAAAATTGATACATAAATTGACGCGTCTGGTACTTTTTTTATTTAAAAACTGGCTGATATTAGAAAAAAGCAGGTAACTTTTCAATGACCAACCTTGCATTATAATTTTATAAAAATATTTTATTCTTGAGAATGTGGCAGAACATACAAAATAACACAATTAATAATAATTGCAAATTAACGTGTTCTTTTCTATTAGACTGTGTAAAATTTTTACAGAGATCGACATGAAATGTGAAGGAAAAATTATTTGGATACTTTTTTAAGTAGTTAATTTAATTTTTTTTTTAAATTAAATTTTATTCAGTGTAATTTATTAATAATATTGTTAAAACCTCTATTCAGCTGAGAAATAAAATTGAAGGTACGCCTAAAGTGCCTCATTTAAAAAATAAACGAAGTTTTTTTTAAAATGGAAAAGTAATTTACCAACTCATATTTTCATTGCAGATTTGTTGATTAGATTTGACTATTGTAATAATTAGCCTTAGAATAAAAATCCAGTTTTTCATTATTAATTTAGCTGCAATTTTTATACCACATAATAATAAAACATAACTAATTACGTTTAATTATTTAACAAAAATAAAGCATAATATTCCATTTAAGTCGAGTCTGATCTGATCAAATAAGCAAAAAAAATCCATTAAAAAATTAATGCTTAAAAGTAATTACTATAAAATAAAAAATATCAAGAGAAAAATAAATAATAATTTAATTATAACTAATTTGTTTTTACTCCGAATTGCGCAAATTTTGACTTGATTGTTGCATTTTTTTATATTTATAACTTTTTTATACAAACAAATTTGGTAGTTTAATCTTTTCCGCCTGATTTTACTGTTTATATCGGTAGGAGCGCAATTAAATTCAAAATCAACTTGGGGGACATAAAACAAAATACATTATTTTATCGCATTGTGCTTGAGCTGCAAACAATTAAGTAAGAGCTCCTCCATGCTGCCAGCAAAAAGGAGAAAAAAAATGCTCCGGTTGAGTACCAAAACATGGCGATTTGCGTCCAACCTGTCGGCGACACAGGACATCCTTGACGCCGCCTCAAAGAACAAGCATAAAAGGCAGAGAGAGGGAAAAATAAATAGAAAAAAAGGAGCAGCTGATCGAGTGCACGTGTCCTTAGCCGAGCACTGCTTTCACTAGCAGTCGGTAAGACTCAAACTAAAAAAAAAAAATGACATAAGCAGAACAACGCGACCGCTGACTGTATTTTAGTCTAACACTTTCACTTTCCGAGCCGCGCTCCTCCAGCATTATCAGCTCCCAAAACATTTGATAGTTTTTTTATTCGGACGTTTTTAATTCACGTGGGAAGAAATCGATTTTGTTGTTTTCATTGTGACAGGGAGAGATTAACTTACTGTCATGAATTTCTGTCCTGAAATATGCGGGAAGAGCACGCGATCGTTTTTTTTCTCGCCTCTTTGCAACAGTTTGAAATTGTCGTGCAACCTTGCCACTTTGGTCCAATTTTCGAAAGCAACATGTTGAAAAATCACTTTTACTCTTTATTTTATAATTTTACAAATTATACTTTTTTCTGAATTAAAATATAAATAAAAAAGATTTTAATAAATTAAAAGGGACTGCTAGATTATTTTTTAATGCTTTCTGCTTATTTTATTTGAATATTTTAATTAAATATAAAAATATTGTATTTTAAGACAAGGAATTATAATTTTTTTTATGAAATCCCTAAGTGCCAAAAGGTTTCGTAACTACAACTTTTCGAACCTCTATAATTGATTGCTTGGTTAATTTTTTTATATTATCTAATTTAAAAGCAGATTTATTTATTTTTGCATTCTAAAAACCAAAATTGTAATTTCTGCAACAAAATGAATGATTTAAGTTAAAATTCAAAATTTTCTAAGATCGTTTGATTATATAAAAAAGGACAAAGAAATTAGTTTTATTTTTTACAGATTGCTTCTTGCTTTTTCCTTTAAAAATATTCTTTATGTTAGTTATTAATTTAAATTTTTCCCTTCATCCTTTATATAATTGAAGATTACACCATGGCTCTATTGATGGAAAGAGCGGTATGAAAAATAGCTTTTATTTCCGTGTCTCCCGTGAAGGATTAAAAATAGATGGAATCCCTGTTTGAATGAACAGTTTGCCGCATGTGAATGAACAACACAAGCCTATTGTTGGCGATGAGGTGGGAAAGCAAAAGAATCCAAAGCAAACAAATGAGTCAACCTTGATTGTGTCATATCATTATTTGCACTCTCCTGTCAAAAGCTAAAAATACTCCTGACGTTTAATTTAAAATAATTTTCTTTTCTGTAAAATAATGATTGAGTAGAAATAAATTACAAATCGACAGCTAATTTTGCCGTCACAGGTGAAATAATATGACCAGATGAATTAAAAAGTTAAATGGTTGCGGCACAATTTAACGTTATTGCAAATGACCCCCTCATCCTTTCGCCAGCAGCTCTCGTCAGACGAGGCGTCTGGTCTGCTTTGCAACGAAAATATTCGCCGAACGGAGCAGCCAATTTTACAGGCAGTTCCATTGTGCCTTAGAGCCGTCCTTGCAAAGGGTGGAAAGTGGAAAATTGATTTGAATTACCTCTCGTGTCGGCGGAAAAGTGCGCAAATCCAGGACAACCAGCAGGAGAAACAAACACAAACACACCTTCCTCGGGCACATGAGCGAAAAATCAACCTGCCTGGCTCGTTCGCGGTTTTCCCAGAGACCCAGATGGCACCACCGTCTAGACATCACTCCCTCCCCGCACGTGTTTTTGTTTTCATTTTCATTTTGCAGCTGATGATCGCAGGTCGATTTTATCCAATTTGTAACGCCGAAACAGCGTTAGGAAGTTTCATGTAATTTAGTAATAATTTTTAAATTACAAAAACATAAATCTGTGGACATTTTATGAAATTTTCTTGCTATTTTTAACAGGTAATTTGAACCTAAAATTTTCAGAAAGTACTTCTGGAACTTTTTTGTTTATGTACATATTATTATTATTAAAATTAGAAATGTGATGAATGTCTTTTCTGTAGTACTAGCATGGGATCTGGAAGCAAGAAAAGAAAGCACGGCCGAGGATCTCGTTCTCCGTCCAGAGACGACGAACGTCGTCGAGACAAAGATAGAAGAGACAGGGAAAGAGCGTCCTCCAGCAGCACTTCTCATCGCCACAAAGATCAAGCCTCCTCCAGCAAAAGAAAAAGGAGCAGTTCTCCAGAGGAATTTGAGAGGTCCAGGCAAAGGCCTGTGAAAGTTGATTCGGACGATGACGAAGAAGAGGATTTTTCATTTGAAAAGTACAAGTACGAGCTCAACATGATCTTCTTTCGTGACGGTGACTTGATCAAACAGGGCACTGATGAGTATAAAGACTTCTGGGATTTTTTGAGAAATTACTTGGCAAGTCAGAAGAAATTGGGCAAAAAGTACCAGCCCGCTCGAGAGTCTCGTCTGGACCCTGATCTTGGCATTCCAGTGGAGTTCGACAAAAGTCACATAATATCCATTGGCCTGAAAGCAAAAATGGATGAACTGATGTCAAGGATGCCTCCAAGGGACCGCAGCACTGGACGGTGGTTGTCGCAGAAGAGAATTGCAGAGTTCAGGGACATTTTCCTCATGTACCTCGACTTCAAGCAAAAGGAAAAGTTTAAGAAACTGAAAGCGCTGAGAGAAGGCCAAACCAATTTGCCTGTAGCTCACTATAGGTAAAAAAAAAATTAAAATTTATTTAATAATCTTTTTTATTTCCTTCTATAGAAAAGAAATTGTTGAGGCTGTGCAAGAAAACTCTGTTGTTGTGATTGCTGGAGATACTGGCTGTGGAAAATCAACCCAAGTTCCGCAATATCTCATCAGAGCTGGCTTTAAAAACATTGCCTGCACTCAGCCTAGACGAATTGCTTGCATTTCTCTCTCCAAACGAGTAGCTTACGAAACACTCAATCAATATGGCTCCGAAGTTGGATATCAAATTCGATTTGAGAAGAGCAAAACGCAGCACACTAAGATTCTGTTTATTACAGAAGGCTTGCTTCTTCGCCAGGTTTGTATTATTTAAAATCAATCGTTCATCAGACTTATTATTTAATTACAATGTTTTAGGTACAAACTGATCCTGAGTTATCCGGGTATGACGTAATTGTTTTGGATGAGGTACACGAGAGGCATCTTCATGGAGACTTCATGCTCGGAATTCTGAAGTGCTTGCTGTTCCAAAGAAAAGATCTCAAACTAGTTCTTATGTCGGCCACAATTAACATTCAACTTTTCGCTGGATTCTTTGAGGAATTTAATCCAAAAGTTATTCAGGTAAACTGTCTATTTTATTGAAAATTAACTCATTAAATAATACCAATTGTCTTTAGGTTCCTGGAAGATTATTCCCAATCAAACTTCACTACAGACCAATAGTGCGAGATAGATTTGCAAAGAAGTCTGAACGTTTTGATCCTCATCCGTTTGTGCAAATTTTGCAGTTGATTGATAAAAAATATCCAAGTATTAAATTTATTTGGTTTTTTATGAATTTGGTAAATAATAATGTGTTTGTAGAGGATGAAAAGGGAGATGTGCTGATGTTTCTGAGTGGAATGACAGAAATTTCCACGGTAGTTGAAGCTGGTAAATTGTACGCCCAAGAAACACAAAATTGGATCATCCTTCCTCTCCATAGTACTCTTTCAATCTCCGACCAAGATAAGGTAAAAAATCTTGCTCAAAACATTGAAAAAGATTTTTATTTTACTTAAATTTTTATTTAGGTCTTTGACTATCCTCCAGATGGAGTCCGAAAGTGCATTGTCTCAACCAATATTGCTGAAACGTCAGTCACAATTGACGGGATTCGTTTTGTAGTCGACTCGGGCAAAGTGAAAGAGATGAGCTATGATGCAACTTGCAAAATGCAACGGTTAAAAGAGTTTTGGGTCAGTCAAGCTAGCGCAGAGCAGCGCAAAGGCAGAGCAGGTCATTTTTTAATAAATTAATACATCCAACAAATTTATTCAAGTAAAATTAATTTAGGTCGTACGGGTCCTGGTGTCTGCTTCCGCCTTTTCTCTGAAGAGGAGTACGAAGCAATGTCTCCTTATACAACACCAGAAATTCTCAGAGTTCCCCTCGACTCTTTACTTCTGCAAATGGTGGCAATGGGTTTGCCTGATGCGAGACGCTTTCCTTTCATTGAGGCACCAGCAGCTGAGAGCATTGAGCAATCCATAGGTACTTTAAAAGAACAGGTAAATATAAATATAAAATTATATAATTTAAATTTTAACTTAATTTGTATCTAGGGGGCATTAACAGTGGATGAGCACTTGACGCCCATGGGCAAGATGCTCTCCTGCCTTCCAGTTGATATTACAATTGGCAAGATGCTTATCCTTGGTTCCATGTTCCACCAAGTTGAACCAATACTTTCTTTGGCTGCAGCCTTGAGCGTTCAGAACCCATTTACTAACAAAGCATACCGAGATCCAGATTGTGAAGTAAGTATCATATTTGTTTTTATAAACAAGCCTCGTTTATATAAAAAATTAAATATTTTGCAGAACTCTAGAAAAGAGCTGGAATCAGATCACGGTGACCCTCTTACTCTGTTAAATGCTTTCCGTGAATGGCTTGAAGTAAAGCAGGAAAATAATGATAACCCCGGTCACTCCACAAGATGGTGCAAAAGAAGAGGCTTGGAGGAGCAGAGATTTTATGAAATGACAAAACTGCGCCGCCAGTTTAAGGAACTGTTGCAAGAATCGAGGCTTTTGTACTCGGCTGAGGAAGAGAAAAAAATGACAAGCAGTGAGAGAATCCAGCGGCACGGAGAACTTCAGTTGTTAAGGAAAATGAAAAGGGAGCACCGGAATGAAGAGCCTCGTAAAAGATCGGTGCTAAAACTGGATCCTTGGGGACTTCAAGAAAGTGGAGCAGCTGGAATGGAGGAAGAAGGTGGAAAAATCGATATCAAAGATGTGGAATTTCGGCTTGGAAATGACAGGACTCAGCTCAGAGTAAGTTTAAATAACTGCATGATTATCTAAATAAAAATTGTTTTATATTTATTCAGAAATTGCTCACGGGAACAAAAACATCTGGACTGCGTGACCTCATGATGCTGAAAATAATTACTGGAAGCGGGCTTTACCCGCAGGTTGCTGTTGCTGATGAATTTAACCATTCTAAGGTAAAGAAGCATATTTTTTAAATTAATTTCAATATGTTTTCAATGGCTTATTCCAACAGTCCGCGCCTGAGCAAATGTTTCACACCCGAAATAAGCCATTCGCAATGCTGCATCCAATGGGATTCTTTGCAAATCACCCAACAGAACTTCACCTCTCTGAATCTGATATAGATTATCCTCCTGGTTTTACAACAAAGCAACCTGTCAGCTCCAAGCATCAACTATTAATGTATATGTAAGTGTTAGGAGCTTGGATATATTTTTTTATTTTTGTAGTAGAAGTTCACGATCGAGGGTTGATTCATGGTGGATTGAATTTAAATTCGGCTTTTCCTCGATGGGTTTTTGTGAGTTTTTATTGTTTAAGAAAAACAATATCCTGCTCTACATGTTTCGGCTGCGGGCTGCAGCCATAATTCATGAGCTGTGAAAAACATTTTGACAAAAATTAGTACAAAATTAAATATTTTTTCAAAAATTATTTTTCTTTCAAATTGACAAAAAAAAAAATTTGTCAATTTGAAAGAAAAATAATTTTTGAAAAAATATTTAATTTTGTACTAATTTTTGTCAAAATGTTTTTCACAGCTCATGAATTATGGCTGCAGCCCGCAGCCGAAACATGTAGAGCAGGATATTGTTTTTCTTAAACAATAAAAACTCACAAAAACCCATCGAGGAAAGGCCGAATTTAAATTCAATCCACCATGAATATTTTTTTATTATAAATTTATTTGGTGCTAATCAATGCAGGACGCTATTGGAAACTACTAAGCCATACCTAACGGGGACCATGAGGATGCCTGCTGCTCAAACTTTGCTTCTCTTTGCCAGTTCAATTGACACAAACTTTGATTTTACTCGAGTTGTTTGTGACTCTTGGCTGCAGATACGTTTTGCCACTCCTGAAACTGCTCAGGTTTTGGTTTCGAGAGTAGCCAAGCTTCGGGCAAAATGGGAAAGGCTGATAGCACTAAAGCTAGAAGGTATTTTTAACTTATTGTTAAAATCAAAGTTTTATTGATTTATATATTTTGAATTTAGACACAAAAATAGAAGAGAATGATGAAAAGGAGAAAACAAGTAGTAAAAGTAGCAACGAAGCTCGACAACTGGAGGCTGAAGTCAGCATCGACTTGATTTCTTTCATGATGACTGAAGTTTTCTACGCAATCCAAAGGCTTCTTGCGGCTGACATTAAAGTTCTATATGTTGGTGAAGGAAGTAATGAGTGCCCAGTTGATCCCAATCCCCTTCAAGAGGATTTTGAAGCTATTCCAGACAAGAAAAAGGGAGGAATGCGGCTCACGCCTAATATAACCTACAACTGGTAATTTTATATACTCATACACAGGATTTTTTATTTTGAATTTTATTTAGTTTGACAGACACTGGAGACACTAGCTGGACAGGCGTCAAGGCCATGTTTTGCCCCAACTGCAACCTACCTCTTTCAGTTCTCCCGATTGAAAGAATGTCACATGAGATGATATGCAAATCCAAAGAAGAACAGGATGGTGAGTGAACTTTTACTTTATTTCACAAATTTGTGGTTATTGTTACTTTTTTTTACTCTACTTGATAGATACTCATTACATCATTTACATCCATAAACAGAGGCCATAAGCGTTCAAATAATTTAAAAAAAATTATCATTTCCAAAATACACGTTTAATTTGGGCTGGAAAATGTGGTGTTTCCGGCTGTCTCAAAACAGGTCCTGAACGGTTTCAGCAATCAAATCAAATTCTTCCTGATTTTTCTCTCTCAAAGCAAATGAAGCTGTGCCAACGCCCGTAGCTCTGCCAAGTAGTGATTTTAATTAATTTGTCTTTTTTTTTGCCATGCAAAACCCTTCATCTTTTAAATTCGCCAATATCAAGGTCTCCTGACCTTCAACTGACACTGCCCCGTAAGATTTAGCCACCGGCAAATCAATGCCAATGGTTTTCAGTCTTGGCACGTTATTTAGACATTTATTTTGTTGAGGAAAGGAACACTGCTCTATAATGCTTCCCTGCGAGCTTTGTTTGTCGAGGCGCTTTTAACAATGACATTCACTCTGGCTCTGTCGTCCTCGTATTTCACCTGCCTAATTACGGCGATAAAATTATCGCCGCTATTCAAGCCAGGTGACACTTCCCACTGTGGTTCTTTCGTAACTTCTCAATTCTGTGTTTTTCAAGAGTCTTAGCAATCAGTACTCACAATATAAAAATACTGCGCCTTCTCCATTTAAAATTAGTAGCTTTAATGTGCAAGTAATCTCTAAGGACCGCAAGCGCAAAACACAATATTGAATGCTCATGACCAAGTAATATTGAAAGTTTCTAATTTAAAAATCTTTCATAATTCTCATAACAAGACGATTTTTTTTTAAATAATTTAATTAATAGTTTTAACAAAAAAATTGACCTAGCAATTTTCTAATATAATTTTGCAATAAAACGCAGTAGATTTAATAAATTTAAGTTTTATTAAGCACATTTTGTTGTAAATTAGCTGATTTAACTTAAGCAATTTTAAAAATTATGACTGCTCTTTGGAGTGTGAATATTTTATAAAAAACCCCTTTCAATTGCGTGAACAATCATGTCCGTCACTCTGTCTCTAATAAGCACATTTTTATAAGTTGTCTGGTGAAACTTATCGAAAACTTCTATCCCGCCCTCCAACTTCGGTTGGTCCTCTACTGGGGTTACGAAAAACGGCACTGCCATGAGAGCGTGAAGAACTCCAAAACTGGCAAACCTTTTCATTTCCTGGTCAACTTGGTACTTGGTAATAATTGACTTTTTCGCTCCCATGCTTAGAATTGCTTCATTCACAGCATCAACGTAGGTCTTGATAAATTCATCGTAATGTTGGTCAAGCAAACTCTTCTGGCAACTGCAGTACAGCAAGTAGCTCAGATCGAGCGCCAGAGAACTGAATCTGGCAATCTGGAAGTCAAGGAAACGCAAGTCCACCGGCTTGCCCTGCTCGTACTTGATCATGGTGTTGTTGACCCAGCAGTCACCGTGGTTGATTACGGCTAGGGGTGTCGGAGTTTTCACCATTTCAACTAGATTGGTGAAAAACTCGTCCGAGACGGCGCGCAATTTTTGCACGTATTCGGGTTTCTTTGGGTACCTGTCCTGCAGCATCCTCACACCTGCATTGCAAGGAAAGTGAATCGTGCTGAACTGAGGTCTTCCCTCTTCAAAGAAGAAAACCTCTTTGATGTAATTTCTCACTTTAAAAAACTCCTCCGGTTTCAATTCTTGCATTGCTAGGGAAATTGCATGGAAGAGACCCAATTTTTTCAGCACAAAGTGACATTCCTCCAAATTGAATCCCTCTACTTTATCTCCCAGAGTGAATCCACTCAGGCTGAGGTCTTCAAGAACTAGCACGTCCGAATCGCCATCAGAAGTGGAACAGAAATATATCGGCACCGGGACACTCGCAATTTTATTTCCGCTTGCCAATTTCAAAAACTCGTCCATCGCAGGCACCACTTGAGAATAAAAAGCCTCTTCATTTTTGACGAATTTGTGCGACTGCAATCCCTCCCGATAGGCTTTGTCGGCCGGTGGACATTTGAACACAAACTTGTCCTCCACGTGAGCACCGTTGCCGTCGCGACTGTGCGCGGTCACTTTGGTTATTTCACCCATGAAGTTGTCTCCCGGTTTGCATCCAGCCGCGATCGAGTGCTTTTCCAGAATTTTGCCTTCCTTGCCCAACACCTGTCTCAAAACCGCTATCAATTGCTCTGGAAGCGATGCCATTTTTACAACTCCAACTCACGCCTACTCGAGAACGAGAAGACGGTTTGAATAATAATAGAGGCCCGTTGCACGTCACACGAGAGCTCTGCGATTTCTGATATAGTCGCGTGAGGGAAACTGCAAGGCCACCAAGCTCCCTCCGATGCGCGGTTCTCATTTCGACTCTCGTTAAAATTAATGTGAACATCATCAGTTGGAAAGTACCCCCCTGGGTATATAAACTGACTCTCATATTTGAGCGTGTTCGTTTTGTTATCTTAGTGTTGTTTGTATATCTTTTTATCACGATGAATCTTAGTTAGGTATATATTATTTCTCAACTGCTATCTCTGCTAAAAGGTCACCTTTGTGAACATTAGAAGCTTTTTAATTTTTATTGTGTTAAAATATTTTTATTGTGATAGGAATAATTTTATTTGTGATTCCTATAAAATGATCAGAGATTTTTAAAAAAGCCTCTGTCAACGCAGTGTTTCAAAAGTAACGCCAACTGCTCTCGAGCCTCTGGAGTGTCCGCTTGCATTTGCCGAGCGTACTCTTGCACAAAGTGATCTCTCGTTTCGCCCGAGACCTTTTCCATATCTGGTGTGTGTTCTGGAGGCACACAAACAGCAGGCACAACAATACCTGGAACAAATTAAATTATCAAAAAAATTTAAATAAATTTTGTATATGTTAATTTTTTTTATAATTTGCAACATAAATTTGTTCAATTTTTGAAATATAATATTTAAAAATTATAAATTATAATATTTAAATTTTTTTTATTCTTAAATAATTTTCACCTGCCATGGTGAGACCATAGGGCGCCGTGCGAGCCATTTCCTCGTAGAGTTTTTCCCTCGAGAATATTTTTTCGGGGTCCATTGCGTGCTCTTTAAAAATAGAAGCCAAACTCTCGTGATACGTCTTGAGCAATTCGTCGTAATTCTCTGACATCATTTGGCACTTTGGACTGGTGAATAAAAAGTACGTCACGTCGGCGGCCGGCGTCGTGATCCGTGGCAGTTGATAATCGAGAAATCGGACGTCTGCGGGCTTCTGCTCGGACTCATACTTGAAAAGCAAATTGTTTGTCCAGCAATCTCCATGTGTGATTACTTGGTCACCCAGAGCGGTGCCTCTTATGATGTTAGCAATAAACTCATAACCCCTATCAATTAATTTGCGATAATTTTGCAAATAAATATTTTTATCATCATTGTCAAAATAGGGTTTAATCGTCCGAAGCGTTTCCTCAAAACAACTCGTGACAAACGGTTCGAAGGCAAATTTACGGTCTTCGTCCCAAAACATGTCTTTCACGAACGGCCGCAGCTCTTCAAAAACCTCCAAATTTGCTTTCTTTAGAATAAAAGAGGCCGCGTGCAGTTTGGCCAGCTCGCCAAGCACCACTTTGCAGTGCGCCAAATCCAGCCCTCTTCTCCGGTCCGCCATGCAAAAGCCGTGCTCTTTCAAATCCTCTAAAATCAAGGCGTCGTGTTCGCCGTCCGTGATGGACTTGTAAAATTCCGCCACGGCCAGCGGTCTGCTATTTCGGTGCAGGTGCTGGGTCAGCGCCGGAATGACTTTTTCGTAGAAAGATTGCTCGTTGGCGAACAGCATCGGCACGCTGAACGCCTCGCGCCGCGCCTTGTTTTTCGGCGTGTTTTTCACCACCAAACTCAATTCGGCGCGTTCGCCTCCCTTCACGCTTCCTTTTACTCGGACCCTATAAATCAGGGCCATCAGTCCGTCGCCCAGGGCCGATCCAGGGGCGATGTTGACGTCCTCGATGTTGGTCCATCCTTGCTCTTGCAGCGCGAGGATCAACAAATCCTGCACTTTTTTCGAGGGCAGTTTTTGCAGGCGCGTTAACACGTCTTCCGAGAGCTCCATGCTCGCACCTTGTGGGTGTCGCTGAAACGCAACCTTGAGCCCAATATTGCTCTGACTGAGCAAAAAAGTGCTGATAAGAAAAATAGGGCCCAAGTTATCTCACCGATATTTTTATTTCATGGCGCGATGTTTTTATAAACATTTTATGGTACTTAAAAAAATAAAAATCGCTCTCTGTTTATTTTAATTTATTTACTAGCCAATTAATATTATTTATCCAACTTGAATTGGCCTTCCTGTTAATGTCGCATGCTACATATGGCGACCCTGCAAGCGCCAATTCTTAAAAGTTGCAGACTTTATAAAGTTGTTTTGCCATTTCAGCCGCTGAAGCCGAGACGAAGAAAGAAGTCACGTGTCCGCCGCCAGGCTCTGAGAAATACCCAGCATACGAGTGCCCCGACTGCAAAGAAACTTTATACTTGCCACCCGTCGAAATTCTCAGGCACAAAAGAAGACATTTGAAGTGAAAGAAAAAACACTTGACAAAAAAATAAACTAAATTTATTTTAAATTATTTATCTTTTAAATTTGGATTTTGTTTTATTGAAATTATGCAACATTGTAATTTGCTAATTTCATTCCAGAATATTTATTGGCTTATAATCACGTGATCAATTATTACGTAATTGTTAAGAGTCTTTTGTTCCATCCATTTGCCCTTGTTATATAAACTGACAATGAGTCTTGCCTAAAGTCTCACTGCAAACAATTGAGGTTGCTCGCGTAATAAAAAATTACCACAAAGACAAACAAAGCCACAGTTTGGAATTATTATTTATTATATTTTAATTGCAAATGGTTTAAAAAAAATTTAATTAAACCTCTTCTTGTTTATACAGTTCATTTAAAAATAAAAAATAAATTGGTTTTTGTTAACGTTGTAATGGAATAGGGGCGCGATGGAACTTTAAGCATGTGCCAAGTTCCTTGGCCTACAGACAGAGTTTTAAGATCAAGTACTTGAATCTATGTAGGGCCTCATGCCAAATAGTTCGCCGCGTGATCCAAAGTCTATTTTTGTGAAATTCAGCTAACTTGTACCGGCCGCAATTAGATAATAGTCTTGCTTTTGCAAGTAATTAACAAACTTGATTTTATTTAAAAAAAAATTTAATAAATAAAATAAAATTTTCCTATGGCAAAAAGCAGCAAAAAGTATTTTGCAACATAGGTACAGGTACACAGTCAAATTATAAATTCAAAAAATGGAAAACCGTACAATTTTCACGCCCACAGGAGTAACACCAAATAAGATTAAAATGAAAAAAAAAGAATAAGAATGTCCCCAATATTCACATTTCACATGTTGGGTTTCCCTAATGTAAAGCACGTGCTGTGCCGCGCGCGATGAACGCAAAATTGAGAGAGAAGCCGCAAGCAAGACGTAAATTATTCTTGTTTGGTTTTTCGAACAATTGGAAATTAAAACTTTTGTTTTCCACGTCGTGGGAATATACTTAATTCAATCCGCGGAATACGCAAAGAGTTACTTCACTTTCTCGGTGACGGTGAACTCAATTTTGCTTTATTGATCGATCCCGTAAACGTGCAACACCAAGTGCTGCACTATCGAGGTCATTTACTAGCGCATCAAGAAACTAGTGCCGCTCTTTGAGCTACTTCGTTTTCAGTCCTTATAGCAAAGAAAATTTCCTGCACCGTAATAACAAAATATTACATCTATACACCATAATATAAATATTTTTTTTCAACACTCAAATTTCACAATTTTACCAAAAATAACTTTAATTTTCAAATATGCAGTTAATTTAATTCATTTCTTAAATACATATTTAATTTAATATGTGTTTGGATTGACAATACCGGACAGTACTTCAAAAATAATCTTGATATTATCTGTTTTTGATATTTTAAGTTAGTTTGCGTCAACACCAGAAACGTAAAATTTTTATCATCATTATTTTTGTTCTTTGTCCCCGCTGTTAGCCTCTTTGTCATATTGAATCTTTCTAGAACGATGAAAGATCTCGTTTGTATTGTGTGATAATGAAAATAACGTAAGTGGAGTTGAAAATTTAATTTACTAAAAATAATTATATAATTATTTTACATTCTATAGAAACTCCAAACTCTTTGAATACTCCTTGTCCTTCAGAACTTCCTCTGATAATTTTTTTTTTTGTGATAGTAAATATGTCGCACAATTTTCCGGTTTGCAAAAATAATGGTCTTGGTTTTCTCCGTTGCACCACCTAGCAACACGCGCAAAACACTTTTTCCGCATTGGAGTCTTTGACCTTCGTCGTCGTGATTCCAAATTATTGCGCGGGTTTCGTGCGACGGCGAGTGACGACACAGATCACGTGATCCAGCAGCACCAATCACACGCGCGGAAATACCCGAAGCTGCGCACAACGAGAGAAAAGTCTTCGGTTGACGCATTTTTCGCCATTGTTGATTCCGAGGCGATAAAACCAGCAAGCGTCGTCCGAGTCTCTCAGATTTAACTGTGAATATCCGAGCTACAAACTTCCAACTCGACTTAATACTGCACATCCTCTTGTAAGGTAAATTATCCGGAGTGTTTCGAGCGATTAATTTTTTCAATTCGTCCGAGAATTTAGCGAGAAATTTGAATTTGAAAATTGCGAACTTTCTACTCGCTGACGCGCATCAGACCTCATTATTTTTGAATTTTCAACACTCGCAATCTTCGTTCTTCTCCAACGGAATTCAAACTTTATTAGTGAGATTTAAATTTAATTCATCCATTCGTTGTGAAATTAGCGATTTTACTTGCAAATCGGTCGGGATAAAATTGATTTCCCTAATTTCATCATCCTTGAAGAAAGACGACGCGTTGCTTGTTAAGTCAAAGAATTCGAATTCTGGCTGCCTAAAGCCTCTAAACTGTTCTTAATATTCAAATTTTTAAAAGATTCCACTACTTTTTAAAGCGTTTTAAGTCTTTAAACTCTGAAATTCTTGGCGAAATCTAGTCAAGTTTCCGGAAAGTTCTCGTCGACTACAAAATGGCTGACATGAATTTCAAGTCGAGTGACGACACATTTATTGAGTGAAACAACCGTGATTCATGTTTTTTTCCTGCTAAACAAGCTAGTCATTGTAGAAATTTTAAGCATTCTTACAAATTCATCTAGAAACCGAATTTCATCATAGTTTTTTTTTAAATTATGCAACGATTATTATAAATTTTTTAAATTTAAAAAAAAATTTAGCGAGTAGTAAATTAGTTAATTACCTACGCAGTTTGCAGCCTGAAACTGTTTCGTAGCTGTTTCGGGTCATTATTAGCTGCGAAATTAAATAATCAGATTAGGAACCATTGGGAAGCTCAATTCCAGAGAGCTTCCTTCACTGATACTCTTCTGACATTTACATAATCAAATAAAAAATAATTTATTATTATGAGACATAAATACTAATTTTTTGTTATTTCTTCAGGTAAAATGCAGATCTTCGTGAAGACCCTCACCGGCAAGACCATCACCCTCGAGGTCGAGCCCTCAGATACCATTGAGAACGTCAAGGCCAAAATCCAAGATAAGGAAGGCATCCCACCTGACCAGCAGCGCCTGATCTTCGCTGGCAAGCAGTTGGAGGACGGCCGTACTCTGTCTGATTACAACATCCAGAAGGAGTCGACCCTCCACCTGGTTCTCCGTCTGCGTGGTGGAATGCAGATCTTTGTCAAGACCCTCACTGGCAAGACCATCACCCTTGAGGTCGAGCCCTCCGACACCATTGAGAACGTGAAGGCCAAGATCCAGGACAAGGAAGGCATTCCTCCTGACCAGCAGCGTCTCATCTTCGCTGGAAAGCAGCTCGAGGATGGTCGCACCTTGTCCGACTACAACATCCAGAAGGAGTCGACCCTCCACCTGGTTCTCCGTCTGCGTGGTGGCATGCAAATTTTTGTTAAGACTTTGACTGGCAAGACCATCACCTTGGAAGTCGAACCTTCGGACACAATTGAAAACGTTAAGGCCAAAATCCAGGACAAGGAAGGTATCCCTCCTGACCAGCAGAGACTGATTTTCGCTGGCAAGCAGCTTGAGGATGGACGCACCCTGTCAGACTACAACATCCAGAAGGAATCCACCCTCCATCTTGTCCTTCGTCTTCGCGGAGGTATGCAGATCTTTGTCAAGACCCTCACCGGCAAGACCATCACCCTTGAGGTCGAGCCCTCCGACACAATTGAGAATGTCAAGGCCAAGATCCAAGACAAGGAAGGCATTCCTCCCGATCAGCAGCGTCTCATCTTCGCTGGCAAGCAGCTTGAGGACGGCCGTACTCTTTCTGACTACAACATTCAGAAGGAGTCGACCCTCCACTTGGTCCTGCGTCTGAGAGGTGGCATGCAGATTTTCGTGAAGACCTTGACTGGCAAAACCATCACCCTGGAAGTTGAACCCTCCGACACCATTGAAAACGTTAAGGCCAAAATCCAGGATAAGGAAGGTATCCCTCCTGACCAGCAGCGCTTGATCTTTGCCGGAAAGCAGCTGGAAGATGGACGCACGCTCTCTGACTATAACATCCAGAAAGAATCAACTCTCCATCTCGTCCTGCGACTCAGAGGCGGGATGCAAATTTTCGTTAAGACTTTGACTGGCAAGACTATCACCTTGGAGGTCGAGCCCTCTGACACAATCGAAAATGTGAAAGCCAAGATCCAGGACAAGGAAGGAATTCCCCCTGACCAGCAGCGTCTCATTTTTGCTGGCAAACAGCTCGAGGACGGTCGCACTCTCTCAGACTACAACATCCAGAAGGAGTCGACCCTTCACTTGGTCCTGCGACTCCGAGGTGGAATGCAGATTTTCGTTAAGACCCTCACTGGCAAAACCATCACCTTGGAAGTTGAGCCCTCAGACACCATCGAAAACGTGAAGGCCAAAATCCAGGACAAGGAAGGAATTCCCCCTGACCAGCAGAGACTGATTTTCGCCGGCAAGCAGTTGGAGGACGGTCGTACCTTGTCAGACTACAACATCCAAAAAGAGTCCACCCTCCACCTTGTCCTGCGTCTGCGTGGTGGTATGCAGATCTTTGTCAAGACCCTCACTGGCAAGACCATCACCCTCGAGGTCGAGCCCTCCGACACCATTGAGAACGTCAAAGCCAAGATCCAGGACAAGGAAGGCATTCCTCCCGACCAGCAGCGTCTCATCTTCGCTGGCAAGCAGCTGGAGGACGGCCGCACCCTGTCCGACTATAACATTCAGAAGGAGTCGACTCTCCATTTGGTCCTGCGTCTGCGAGGTGGAAACTAATTCTTCTGCTTCTCATATGATTCCAGTATTTTAAAGTCTGCAATTTTTATTTTTCATACATTATTCCAGAAAAATATCAGTCAATGGTTTAATTTAATCTTCTGAGTCATAACATAATAAAAGCAGCATTTGCAAAATATTTATACATTTGTTTGATTTTATATAGGAAAACATAAATGATGAATGTCATAAATAAACCTATAGGGATGAAAATATAAATAAGGATTGAATTAAGAAAAGCTTAATAAAATAACAATAAAGTGGAAGTAAATTAAACATTCCACAAAGAATAAAGGAAGGCCATTTTTTTATAATAAATTGTATTGGTGATAATGATATTTTAATTAAAGAGAGAATTATTTGTTGGAAGGCCACATAAGTCTTCATGGTCAACAAGAGCATCAGAGTTGATGATATTGATTAATTAAGCTGATAAATCAGGGCTTCCATAACACATTATTTTCTTGTTTGCGGAGCCACCGGTCAAAGAATTCCCTTCGGTGGGAAAATTACTCGTTTCTAAATTTGAAGTTGGCCGGTAGATGTCGCGAGCTGTACATGAGCGAGCGGTTCAACCTTGAAGCAAAAGAGTCAAAAGCACCATTGGTTTCGCGCCGTTGGGTCCAGCCAATGAGGGGACACCAATATCGTCAGCACTCCAATGACGTCATAGGAAGTACAAGTGCAAGTAGCACCAAATGATCCAGAGTGCAAGGTGGTTGTTTGATCGTATGGTGGCTCTTTTCGCCTAGTACAGGTAAATCTGATTGTTGATTTTCGGGTAAATGGCCCGGTGGTGCCGCCAAGGGTCGCCTTCGGGGGACGAGGGTCGCCGTTCGCGGGTGGCATCGCCTTGAGTGGCAACGTAAACATGAAAATGGCAACTGTGGGCATCACTTTGTATCACACTCCGTCTTGGTGGGCATTGCTGCCGGACTGATAATTTACTTAGCGCTCGTTGCCGTGTTGATTCGCGTCGATTTGTCGCGAAATTCCATTCGCTGCGCATTAAATCCTGAAATTAAAAACGTTTGTATAAGTTAATTTCTCGGTTTCCCAACGGGATTTTTGACTCGGCTGCTCTCCGACCGCATGCAGTGTTTTTGTTTATTTTTCTTCATAATACTCTGCTCGAAATGTCTTCATGATATAATCTGTCGCTTTAAAATGAATTAGCACTTTTTCTGCTCCGTGCGAGCGACAAGTAGGAAAATTACAATTGCGTGCATGTCTCTCAGGAAGTGACAAGCACTTGCTAATTTGAAAAGAAAACGACTTATTTATTTAAATAGAAAAATTATAATTTACTAAAATTCAATTTTTTTATACCAAAATCAACACACGCGCAAATTTTTTCAAATTAATTTCGGAGTGCGAATATTGATAATTGTAAATAGTCATAAAAGCGAGGAGCCTCAAATCCGTGAACAGAGATAATCACGGCGCGCGAGAGATGCAGTTGGTGATCATTCAGCCAAGGTCAACATCTCCACAACAACTTGTAAACCTTGCTCCTTGATGAATATAATGTGTGACCTATTCAACAGTCTAATAGTTAACAATTATGCAATATTGGATTTCTACTTTTTCCCACGTCTGTGGTTATTTAACATAATTAATTTCCTTTCATTTTCTCCACTCAATTTTTCTGCCTTTTAATTAATTTCATGCTGGCTGAATTGAAAAATACTCTAAAGAGCTTAGTAATGAAATGTTTAAAAAACATTTATTTATAATATTATATCTATATTGAGAACAAAAATTATTTATTGATTCATGAACTTGTAATTTTAAAGTGGAACAAAATTTTATTTTATGAAAAAAAAAAACTCTTTTAGAAATGACAGTCTTAATTTTAGCTTTAATTCAATTGAGCCAAAAGTTGTACTTATAAAGGAATCTAAAAATATTCAAAAAAGACCATAATAAATTTTATTGGCTTTACTTTCACTTGATCTGAAATAAAAATCAATAAGTAGGTAAAACACTTACAAAAACTCCAAAAATAAATAAGTAACTTTCCTTCTATTGATGAATTTTTTCAGATCAGTTCCAACTGGGCGAGACGTGTCAACATCTTTGCTGCTTTCCCTAACGAGTACACCTGTCGTGCTCTTTGTTTATTGCTGACTTTTTAAGGTAGGCAAAATCAAGAATTTAGCGAAAAATATATGCAAATGTGCCTAATTAATTCAGATCGGATGTGTATGTGGTAATAAGGAAATTCGTTTTACATTTTAACACACTCTTAAAGTCTTAAATATACAATTTTAATGATCTTTATGTTCCTGCTGCTTTTGGACCAGCGCTCAATTAAAAGTACACGCTGTGCTCATGTCATGTAAAATTTTGATTTATTTTCAGAAGTAAACCGCTTTTGATTAAAAAGGAAACTGGCAAAATGTTATAAATTGACTTGCTCTATTTTCCGTTGCTAAAGTTTTCTCTAAATACATGAAATCGCCATAATTATTCAATTTATCAAAGCTGTCTGGATATAAGTATTGGCGTTTTTAATATGCTTTTAAATATTCCTTTTCTCCAGATATTGAGAGTTACGCCCAGAAATTATACACTTTGATTTATATTTTCGTCAAAATTACTGGCAATATGCGTCAGTATTTAATAAAAATTAAAAAAAAAATGCGAAATTTACAATTACAACACCAGATTAGACCTTAACAGGATCGCGCTTTCTTCAGGTTTTGAATAAATTATGATTTTAATTGAAAGGGATCTTAATTAAATAAATTTTTTTAGCATAAAACAATATTATCAAATTCTTGTGTTATTATTTCTTATAAAATTGTAATTTTTCTTTAAATAAACGATACAAAATGTTTGAGAAAATTAAACAACACTAGATTTTTTTTTTTTATAAACAAGACGCAAAAAAATTACAAAATTTTATGTGCTGTCATGCATTTTTTAAGGAATAATCATGTGCTATAGTGCCTATAGTTCATAAAATGTGCGCTAACAACATCTCGCATTATGTGTATCCAATTTGTTAATTTTTTTTACTCAGATTTAGGAATAATACGGAATTTTTCTTTAGAATTTGGTTATCAAGAAAACAATTTGCAAAGAAATTTTGAAGTAAATTTGTTTATTCTTATTTGATCAATATCTTCATTTAATTATAACATCTAATAATAGCCATGTTCTCAAAATGATAACCGCTAAAAAGTAATCACAATGCCACAAATATACGCTGATGACGACCTTGCAGATCGTCTCTGATATTGAGGAAAATAAAAGATGGGCTCATTTGGGTACAACTTCTTTTTCAAGTCAATGCAAAAAAAAAACACTAACTGGAAAAAAATCCAAAATAATAATTATTGAAAAATAATTATTTGCAGAACGTGACCAAAACTGGCAGAGCCATTTTGTAAAAAAAAAAACATTTTTCTCTCAAAAGAGGCAAAGTTCTTAACTTCTATTGATTGTCTCCTCAAGAAGTGTCAATTTCTGCACTAAAAAAATTACGACCAGTGTCTTTATTTTCCAATATATATTAAAAAAATAAGCCATGATGGTTTAAGGAGAGGCTTGAGCACAAAAATAAAGCGGCCTCATCAATTTTGATGGTAATTTTTCTCTACATCAGCATTGGTTCGTTCAAGAAGACGTTGAATTTTTTGGGAGAACTGATTTTTTGACATTTTACATTTTTGCTTGTGGGAATTTTCTAAAATAATTTTTTCTCAAAAATTAGCCTGATCAAAATTGATAAAAATTTCAGAAAATCACGTTCATATCACCCTATTTAAGGAAAATAAAATCATTAAGTCGGTCGACATTAAAAAATTTACTTTGATCTTATGGGAAAAGGTGGAGAAGTTTTATTTAAACAGTGTAGATTTCACGAGATCCTCGTAAAGTAGAAGAAAGCAAAAAAGTGCAATCACAATTAAATTTAATTTCTAGCAAGCCTATTTAACAGAAATTGAACTGACGCCTGGATTGCTCAACTGTTAGCTGCATGAAAATATATTATTTAACCTCTCGCCAGAGAAAAATGTTTGCTCGGAAGTTGCGTAAAAAGTTTTGCAATTTACAAACACAACTCGCGGAACTGCTCTCAAAAGTATGAATATGATAAAAAAAATATCGGTACACAAATTTATTATACAAGTCCAATGTCATTATTCACTTTCGTTGCATCACGACTTTGCTCGATTCCCCTCTGAGGCAATTCGTGCACATTTTTTTTTTCGCTGCACACGTGCTCTCGCTCACCGGTTGGGTTGAAAACGAAAGTCGAAGAAGATGACGCGAGTTCAGGTAGACTAGTCAGCAGACAGGTGCGAAATGAAAAGAGCAAAAAGACTCGAGTTTTTTTCTCTCACCTCGCGCACCACGAGTCAAAGACAATAAAAGCTCATGCCCCACTGACTGACGAACCCTTTGCGGGTCGGTGTATAATTTTCACGGCCGGTTGCACAGAGTGCGCCGCGCGCGATTAAATTACACCCTCGGCACCTTATTTACCACCGACATGTGCGTGCATTTTTTACTTGCCTCGATACCGATCAATCACCGCGGCTTCGGAACAGGTGCGCAGGGTGAATCGGAGATGATTGGATCCCAGGGCGAATTTCGCGCCGCCGACGCGTAATTGGGTTTTTGTGTGTTGACGACCGGGATTAAAGAGCGTGTTCAGGATCGTTTTCAACTGGTTGTTCGGTTTTGATATTAAAAAAATCTGTGTTCGTGCAGATGGACCGAGTTTTAGAAACCAAATGGAAATTTCTGCTTTCCATACAATTGGCGTGATACTTATTCTGGTCTGATTGAATGGAGCATAATTTAAGTGGATGTAAAGTGTGGCTTTGGAGACCGCGAAATGAAATTTTATATATGCTTCTCAATTTATAGCAGAGAAGAATAACCGTTAGGCCGTGTGCTAATCAAGACGCTTTTAAGAACAGTAGCTCTGAATCTTATTTCAATATATTATGGAAACCATATTATTATTATTATTATTATTGCCACTCTTTTCTTTCAATAATAGTATTAATAATAATAAAAAAAATGCAATCATTATTAGTACCAGCTAGGTTATAAAATAATAAAGGGAAAGATGCAATAATGCTAAGTTTTGACTTATATATAATTATGAGGCCTCAATATGTAGTTCTTTCATACGAAATATTTAAATTTTTTTTAGCACTCAAATAATTAAGAATTTTTTTTTATAATTCTTAAATTTTTTTAATTTATCTGTAGCTCTTGAGATTGTAATTTTTATTACAACTTTCAATATTATTTTCTTTCTAATTTTGTTAATAAATTTCTGTAAATTTATTTCATTTCAACATTAAATGGCTTTCAATTAATCCAATTTATTAATGTAATGTATGTGAACTTACGTCTTGCCCAGAAACAAGTGTCTGAGAGATCTTGCAAGTTGATTTGCATGCAAAATTCAATAAAAATTTATTGAAAGTACATTGCAAGTATTACTTAGCCGATGGACGACAATTTACCAGATTTCATGTTATAAACTTGAGATTTATTTATATAGATTTTTACAGCTTTCTCGCCTTTTGGCTTTAGTGGTTTTGAGATATGGTCCAGATTTCAGTAAGTAAAATTGCAAAGGTGTTTTAGTTTCCGATTCCAATCACTGTCATATAAATCAGCAAGAAATTATTGCCAGTTATGAATAATCTATACAAAAATATCTATAATAAAATCATTACAATATTTGAAACACATTTCCTGAGAGAACATATAAAAATGGGATAGCTAATGGATTCCGAAAGTTGTCTTTTTTTCGGTTGTGAAATTGGAACTGAATTTATTTGGCGGAGATAAAAGCCAAATGTACATACGCGGGCGACCCCGGCGCAAACGAATTAATTTGCACTGCTTGCAGGTTTATGGGTTAACTTTTCTCACTCAGACGGATTTCAATTGTTGAACACATCTGTTGAGATAAACTGGTTCCTTTTTCTGATCTGTAGAAATAGTTTTCTTTTGGGTGGATGTAAAACCGTGTACTCTGTGACGTCAGCAAAAGGAAACGTACTTTCGTTTTTTTGAGACTTTTTACACGTCCCACAAGCGTGTAACACGTTATTTATGAGATTTTACAATATATTTATTATAACAAGACCACACGATTTATCAAAAGTTGCAAAACGTTCATTTGCTCAATGGACCTGATTAATATTTTGGAGAAAATGCAAATAATTACACGGCAGGTACAGTTGTGAAGTTGATAAAAAGCTCTTAATCAAGACACTTATATAAATAATGAGTTCGTATGAATCCTTTTTAATGCAATTTTTAACCCATGCGGTCAGTATAATTTTCAAGATTGAAAAAGTACAATTTGCACGAGGAACACGAAGCGACAGGATGTTGAGTCTGCATTTCTCACATCTGTACGACGGTGCTCTTGGCATTACATTTGTGTGCGAGGCTCGTGAGGTGCGTGCTGATAGCACAAGGAGCCTTTGTTTGCAACGCACCGAGTATACAACACCAAACTATAAGCTCACATGTTTTGTTTACTGCATTATACGTTTCTACACTCGCAGATAAAACTATTATACGCGCCGATACACATATGTATATAAAGTGCGAAGGGATTATTTACTCTGCGGCGGATAAAAATTCTTATCACGATGCCAACGCATTCGCAAGGAGTTTAGCAGGAATACCATAAAATAGACATCATTGTTCAGCAAAGAAATTCAATTTGTGATGGTCAGTTAAATTTTTTGGGTTGCATATATTAATAATATTTAAAATTAATTATATTAATTAACATTATTTAAAATTTAATCAATTCTCGATATTTCATTCATGGTTCTCAAATACAATTTATTTTCTTTTGCTGTATTTTATTTTTGCCACTTGTGGTAGTTTTTATTCGTGTTTTTTTTTTTATTATTGTATAATTTTGAATGAAGAATTGTTATTATTTTCTATTTTAAATTGATAAAAAAGTAGGAAAATTGGAAAAAGAGAAGAAAAAGTTCATGCACAAGAAGATGGTTTCCAAAACACCCGTAATATTAAATTAATTTAGCCATATTAATGATTTATAATTTAATGTATTAAAGTTAAAATTATTATTGATTGTTTATCTTATATTATTAATTTCTTTTTTAATATTTTATTATTTATTTTCATTTTCAATTTTTTATTTAATAAATTTCATTGAAGGAAATTTAATTTTTTTATAACTTAATTTTCATTTTATTTTTTGATTATTATGATTATTTAATTTTTTATTATATTTTACAGTAAAATTAATTTAATAACCCTTGATATTTTAAAAAAATTTGTTTTCTCTATGAATTTCAGCATTGTTAGCTGGGCAGATAGAAATGAAATTAAGTGGATTATTCATGCCAAGATGGAATTATGCGAATAGGAGATGGAGGCAAATAATATAACAAATTGCGTTGCAACTCGGCATTTTCCCTCAACCACAACGGAGTGGAATATCTTCTCTCATGATCCGAGCTTATACACACATTACGTAAAGTGGTGGGCAACAGGCCAGCCAGCGTTGATGATGAGATACTCCGTGATGCTGTACAGATGAGCTCACCTTCGGAGGCGCGGAGTGCACAGCAAATGACGTCATGAAAAATTACATACATTATAAATGCTTATCCTTATATTCGCGGGTGGGAGAGCGAAATTCGTTTTTCTTAATGTTTTGCGCGAGACAATGCGACTGGCAGTCTGGAACAAATTTTCTGGTTTGGATCGTGCAGAGCGACGCAAAGAATGCGAACTGCCCGATTAGCGGAAAACTGGCCACGGGCCATTTAGGTTCAAGTTTTCGGTTGAAAGAAAGAGACCTCGCTGACCACTAACAAAACTACAACGCGGCACTCCTTTCTTTATCCAACGCATTTTGTGAAATCGTAGCGAAAACGGAATAATTTTTAAGAGACTAGTTTTCGCTGTCGTGCGTGGTCATGTTTATTATTGAAATCAGTTGGATATCGAAACAGCAGGAGTTTTAAATGCTAAGGAAGTGCTCGCAAGGCACAGTTCAACGCAGGCAGAGAGATTGCACACTTAGATTTTTATTGCTTTTCGATTCTGGCGGCGCGACACATTTTTAATTGAGCGCATTATATGCTGTTATCCGATCGCAGCCTTCCTAAATCCCCGGCGCAAACGAGAAATTTCGTGCACGTACTCCTTGTCGCGCCACTCACCTTTGTATGACGTCAAAGCTTTTGGCAATTCACATGCGAATTTTATGCTGAAAAGGACATTTTATTGACTTAATTTAATGAGGGAGAAAGTTGAAATTCGCCACTTAAAAAAGTGTTAATCTCTTTCCACGATATCCTTTTTGCATAATTTCTGCGGATTTATCCGAAATTTGGAAAGTCTAATTGCACTCCATAGGTGACCAAGGCTATTGATTTTAATATAACTTATTTTTTTGTGTCAATTAAATGCCGAGCTTTAATCACCGCTTCGGGTTCTATAATTTGTGAAACACGTCAATACTGCAGATCAAGGAAGAATCATACCCTAGTTAAATTTTTATTTTATAAATGCTAAAGAAGTTTAGTGTTCAAAACTCGAAAATTTGCTGACAATTAAATGTTTCTTTTAGATTTATTTTATTATTTTTTTTATATAGTATTGAAATTGCAAAAAGAATAGCCTGATCCTGAAACATTCCATTCTTTAGTTATAAGAATTACGATCATGATTGCAGATATGTTTGTGACATAAAAATGTGGGCTGAATGAAATGATTTAACTTAACAAGATATTTAACTTAAAGAAAGAAAGTGCATAAATTTACCATTGATGAAAATAAAATGCTTGTAAATTTACAATTTGACACTTAAAAATTCGTAATGTGACGCCTGAACTCAATTTTGCAATAATATATAAATTTCCTTTTGGTTAACTTTTTTTACATAACAATGCAATTTTCAGTAAAGATATTTGTAAAAACAATAGACCTGCCAAATATTCATTTTTTATTAACATCCCTAATAGATCTGATGTCCTTTTAACATGAACCCGGTATAATATTAACAAATGGTGCAAAGTGCTCGCATTTCCGCCATTCACGCCAATTTGACTTGACCACAGAGAAACGAAAGGCGGAGCTGATTGTGAGAGAAATCCATCATCGTCAATTTCCATCAAACAGCGGCGATTCCGTCTCATGAATACATGCATAAATTTCAACCCTGCTGACGAAATCCGTTAATAAAAATCCTTGGCCAAATGTATGCAACCGGCGGTGCTGCATTTGTTGCCGCGGCGGCACGCGAACCATCTCTCTATGGCAGCGGCGATGCGAGTTTGATAAGTGGACGCGCGGCTCAACCTTGATTGTATCGAGCCGGCCGCGGCTTCACGCAAGCAACCCCGCGTGTCCGGCTAACTAACTTTCGAAAGGTTTGTTGCACCTCTTTCGCCCCCGTTGAGGGGCTTCCTCTTGCACAACAACACCCCCTGGCATTAGCAATGGACCAAGCACGCCTTTGACGTAACCCGGTGGAATAATATAACATATAAATGCTCGGCCGGCCGCGTTTTGTGTAATGTACTTTTGACTCGGCGACCGCACGGGTTGAAACTAATGGTTTCAATAAGCGCCGAGGCCGACCAGCTCTCTTTTTTTTGCGTTTTGTTCGATAATGAGACCAGTTCATTTTCGGTGGATTGCGACCCAAAATAAATTGGGTGAAACCTTACATTTTGTGTCATTTTTTTTAATTTCAGTTGCGCAAATGAAATTTTATTGGATTCGTGTGATTCAAGAAATAAAAAATTAAATGAGAGAGAAGCGAAAATTAAAAATTGATTTTAATAATTTGATTTTTCAGCGTTGATTAGAAAATTTCTAAATTTTCTTTTAGGCACAGGCTTGCATTCCAAAAACTATAACATTGAATTTGGAAGGAGTTTTCTGGAACTTCCATGCTTATAACAAATGAATTAAACTAGAAATTTCATTCGGAGCACTCTTGCGCAGCGTCCAATAAGTAAATTGACATCATACATTGTTTTAACAAAATCATTCATGTCTTGGCCTGACAAAAAAAAAAAAATTATAATCTGGGCTATTTTTATGCAAAATTTTGTGAGTCTGCAATAGAATAATTTTCAATTTGTGCCTATATCCGCAATTTTCTTAGAATATTTTATTAATTAAAATAATAATAATAGTAAATTCTTATATGGACTTTAGGAATATTTTATATGGATATTTAGGAATATTAAAAAATAATGCTACTATTGTAATTATTAGGAATTAATTAATGTTTGAAGTTTTAGTTTATTTTTGAAAAAGGCTTCTTTTTGTTATTAAAATCTCAGTAAAGTTAGTTAAACTAATATATTTTGTAAAACAAATTACATTTAAATAAAAATTTTGGTTCACCATACAGCTTTATTTTCACAATCGATAATTTAAAAATAAATCCATGGTGCTGATTGCTAGTCAAACAAAATTCATTTCTTCAAATTATAGTGCATTTGAAATGTATAATTTTATCTTAATCAACAGAAGCAAAATTGTTGAGCAAACATATCAGTGAATTTGCACAACTATAAACTTGACTGATTTATGAAAATGATAAGACCGTCTGATGATAATTTCACCTCATACTTATCTTTAAAATTCTTTTCATATGTTATCGATTTGACATTGGCTCTTTGAATATAAAAAAACCCTCCAATATATTTTGCAAATGACATGCTTTAGATTAAAAAGTAGTATTGTATAGAAACTTTTTATTGAAACAGGCACTAAAAAGAGGTTCCTAAAAATAAAAAGATAAATCGCAAGTACACGCACATGATAAACAAAAACTATCAGATACATCAAAGTGTCACTATATAAATTCTCTGCTTCAATGAACTCGTTTATGTTTCTAAATCTCTGCGATAACAGTAAAGTTGGCGTACACATCTTTAATGGCATTTGGTTTACTGTTTTTTTTTATATTTTATCCTGTATAAAAATCTGATGGTGTTTTTTCAGCATTTGAAGCCAATGAAATGCATATATAAGATTTTGGAGAACAAAACATGTTTTTTAAAGTCAATAAATTTTATGAGCACCACTTTTATGGTCACTTTTCCAATTTTTACACCCACATCAGTGAATGTCCAAAGTATTGTCGTGAATATTTAAATTAATAGAAAATCGTTACACGTGTTTTTGCAGAATTTCTCCCGCGTTCGACCATGAAGACCTCTGTGATGAAGAACTTTAGTCTGGTGTCTACTTCTACGGTGAGTTATTTGTTAAACTTATTGTATTGCTTATATACTTAATTATAAAATAATATTATAAAAATGTTATTTTAATAATTATTGCAATTTACTTTCTCTGAATAACAAAACTATTCTCAAAGCATAGAAATGAAAACTGATAAATTGTCTAATTGAGCTAAAAAGCCATGGTATTACGAAATTACGTTTTCAACGTGTAAATTGGACGAGCCAAGGTGCCGTGCCTCCGCGAAAACCTTAAGAGTACCTTATCTTCTCCCTCGCCGAAGTTCACGCTGTGCTTGAGAAATCGCAGTGCGTAATTGAAAAGGCTTGTTTGATAATATCAAACCACAACAACGTGATGTATTTGTTATCCACGTGTAGTAAACAAGCCATGGCACCTACTCGCAAAATAATAATTTATTTTGTGTGCAATTACAGTAATTATTATACCAGTAAATACTTTAAATTTCACGTGCAGGGATTGATATTTATAATTTGATCGTTATTAAAATAATTTTAATTTTGTCTTAAAAATTTTAAGAGGAAATAACCAATTATTCAACTTTTAATATAATTTGTGTAACTATATATAAAAATAATATTAATAAATTTATATTTTTAATATTTCTGCATTTAAAAAATTATTTCATATATTTTATTATTGAGCATAACAATTTGAATTAAAAAAATGGACATTATTTGGCCAGCCCTTTTTATATTATTTGTCAAATGAATTGAATTGGGAAATTTCAAGACAGACTTTCGTCAAATAATGCTGTCTAAACATGTATTTTTGCCCATCGATTTTGATTATAATATTAAAAAGCATAAATTATTGGTTTAATTGGTTTATTATCAGTAAATTTACTGAAGGTTTTTGTTTAAATTTTTTTTTAAACTAAGAATAATTCAAAGATTTCACCGACAAATCAAGGTAATTAGGATTTTTAACACGGACATTTTCTGGAAAACAAACGAAAGGCCAAGACTTTTCGATCGCTTTCCAAATTCGGCGATCAATCACGACCGATTAATAGCGGCGCCCCTTCGCAGCATGTTCGACTCGGTGCGTTTCGATGTGTCTAAAAATAGCCAGCCCTATGCATTCTCATTTGCGGTTCGCCCCTGGCAGGGAAAATATTTTTGTATTGAATCGTCATCATCTGCCGGGTCAGTGGGGGTGGAAGGTGCGTCGCCTGCAGCAACAACAGGGTCATTTACCCTGCTGCCTGCGTGTGCGCGTGCATTTGTGGCGGCGAGCGACGACGATCGACCTAAATTCCCCCGCCGCGTCGCCAGGGTGGTAGGCAGGCCAGGCACAAGCGAACTTTTTGTACCTGGCGCTGCTCGCAAGGCTGGGCGAGTCTCATTCGCGCGCGAGCAGCAAACCTCGCCGGCCGGCCAGTCCTCAAGTGTGTCAGGTTGTGATAGGTTGCTTGGACGGCATGGAACCGCTAGAGTAGACCTGCCCAGGTGAGTTTTCACAAGATTCGCATTTAACCTTGCGGTATATAGAAAAATTCACACGCATTTTGTTATACAAATAGAGCAAATCAAAGTAAACTCTTTTTTTAGAATTAAAAATTTGCCTCAAGACGTAAAAATTAAAAAAAAAAAAAACTAGAAAACAATGAGCTGAATAGTATTTAAATAATGTTAATAATTAACTAGTGAATTCTTCAAACTCTTTTAATTGAGTTCTAAATGTAACATTTTGTTTGAATAAAAATTAAATTCCTTATACAAAACGCAGGAGAAAAAAATATCAATTTTCAGCAATTTTTTAAATCTTGAAATAAGTTAAAGACTTAAAATGAAAACAAATGCTAAAATTTTCAAGTTTTCATAATTACCAATATAACTTAAAAACTTGTTTATGAAAAGCTTTTCTTTATTTATTGTAATTCAATTTTATTACTTAGCAAAATAAAAATAATTACAATCAGGAATCCACGGATTAGTGCAAAATTGTGTAATCTCGAGATAATTACACCATAATTTACCTTGATCATTACTGTCAGTCTGTTCAATTGAACAAGGCATTCGGCAATGCCCAAATGAATAATCTTTGTAAGGCTGCACCCAATCTGCGTCAAAAGAGGTTTAATTAAAACCTGTTATATATGATTTTGAGCGCGCATGTGTGCGAGATTTCAGGGAAGGCATTTCAAAAGGAAGCTGATTGTCAAGACTAATTGACGTTTTTGTAACGTTTAATGCCTTTTCGGTTATTATGTCCACCATAAGCAGTCAAACGAAAAGTTGATTAATTTAAAGCTCTTCTGGAGCGTGAGAAAGCAAATTGCTCTGAATGACAACTGCCCAAACCAAATCCCCTAGTTTTTCAACTTTTTTCACGTAGTTTCATATTTAATTGCATGCGTAATACGCACGTAAGTGATGCTTTGGCTGATTTTTTGTGAGATGAAAGTTTACGAGATTAAATTTTGAAATGTGGTCATTTATTTGACAAACGTTGAATATGACATTGTCCAGCTGCGATATGTATCGTTTATGCTATAAGTAAGCAGTTTTCTTCTTCACATTTACCGTTGAGTGCCCATTTTTTTCTTGTATTGACAAACCAGTAGCTTTTTGATAAATGCCCTCATGTATACTTTGATTAATGAAAGTCAAAATTAATATGAATTATATAGATATGTGTCAAAGATAATTTATTTCATGTTACACACTCGCACTTTCAAAAACACCCAGACTGGCCACCGGAAAGGGTCCACTTGTCCTGCAAAAACGGCAACTATACCCTCCCCTCAGACAAAAAACTATTGACCTGCAGAAGGGGAAATGGTTGGGCGAAATTTATATAAGTCTTGCGGGAGCTACAATTTAGTTCACTGTTTTATTCTCAACAGCCAGAGATGTTTTGACCTGGTCAAATGTGCAAAATTTAAATTCTACAAATAATTCCTCCAAAGGTAAGCACCAATCATTTTTACAATTAAAAAAAAAATATTATTGAATTAAACTTTTATTTTTTAAAGATGTTTATATGATTCAATTAAGAGATTAAATTTGTAATATTTTTAACTTACAATTTTCAAGGAGGAGATTTAAAGCATTTAATACAAAATCCTAATTTATTAGTATTTTATTTTTAATGTCGTGTTTTTTGTGATAATCTGATTATCAAAGCCCAAAAGGAGACACGCTTGATCTTATCCAATGTAAGCATTTACCAGAAAAATAATTTCTTTCATAATTAGAAGGGTTTTATCCCACGATTTTAACTGAAGATTTTTTACTTTTTCTATCAAATTTTTCAATGTGATAAAAACTGCAGCGTGTGAAAACGGTATTAAAAAAAATACAGACAGCAATTTCCACGAGCGGCCCTTTCTTCAGTCGCCGTATAGTCAAATTAGTGTGCGGCGACTGCCTGAACATTGCCTCGTTGTAGGTTGACAAAGCAATTTATATGAAATTTTGAGGAAGCACATAGGAGGGTGACACGGAAGTGGTTATCAATTAAAGGAAATTTCAACGCATTGCTGAGAGGCGCGCGTGTGTACATTATGCCTGCGGGTCTTTGACGCCCAAGCACACACTTTGCCTAAATAATGTGCTTGTGTCGCCGGTTGCCTGATTTCCTTTCTCTGCGCACATAAATTCGTTAAAATTTCTTGCCTCAGGGCAAATAATTTATTCAGTTATCCGACGTTCTTTGCATTTATTTATAATGAGAAAAGCTGTATACAGAAGCTTTCGACATTGTGCGGCTAATTTACAATCTTAATGATTCTTGTCGAATAATAATTTAAATAACCAGTCCAATATAATTATATTTAAGCAGGACCACTTTTTTCATTAAGAATAATACAGAATTTGCAATTAATTTTGCAAACTTGATTTATGATGTCTGCTTTTCCTCGATGGGTTTTTGAGTGAAAGATTTTTTTCATAGAAAAATACGCTGCGAATTCAGTTCAATATTTTTTATTATAATTACAAATTATTACATAACTCTATTTGCAAATGAATATTTAAAAACAAATTTTAAGCTTAAATTATTACATGTAAAATATTTTGCATCTTAAATTTTGGTCTTTGACAAAACTCCAAACATTGAAACATTATATAAACTATACTTTTAAAATATTGTATAACTATTGGAAACTAATATCAAAATGGATGAATTTTATTTTTATTACAATTTGTTTCATTAAAGTTCCGTCGTGCGTTGCTCTTGATTCTGAATAGAAATGGAAAGGATGCATCAGCGGACTTGTTATTGTTTGCCTCTGATGTCTCCATTGAGGCTTTGAATGATTTGCAGCTGTGGGACAGGTGCATGGGCGCGCATGAACTACACAATGTAAAATGCCATTTGTAATGGGACTTGGGGTGAGACACGCGTGCCTTGTGCACTACATTCAACATTGATGGCCCTGATATTTTATTTTTAGCAGAATTTTACGCAATTTATGCAGACGAAATTTCACGGAAAAATCAGGTCATTTGAACGCCGCTTTGAATTGATAAAGATCTTGTGATTGATTACTTCCAGAAGACATGTGCCAAATGCAAGTACTTCAAGTGTATTAATGGCTTCAATCATATGTGTACCGGTGGACACCTTTTCCAACCATCTCAGTGTCCACCGAGTAAGATAAAACTCGTTTAATTTGCATTACGAATGCCAAAATAAACATTTTATTTATCCTGTTGACATTTTTATCTGCAAACTAGGCAGCTTGGTCATTTGTCGGCAATGAAGAAAGTTTCTAAATACGCATTAATAACTTTCGGTGCACTTCAAAGTGCTTAAATCTTGTTTGACGTGATTGAGAAACACCCGTTAAGTGTAAAACTTCTGTGTCAAAATAAATATACAGAAAAGTCGACCGAGTCCCTTTGACTATAATATAATTGAAAAAATATGACAATAAAATTAATTTTGGCGGACTCTCTCTTTTTTAAAATCTTGGATTTCCGGTCGAAGAAAGGACCGGTTAATTAGCATAAGCAAATTGCCAAATAAGGATTGGATATTTTAA